AGGTTTTGGGCGGGGGGGGGGGGGGGGGTTAGGGTTTAGGGTTTAGGATTTAGGGTTTAGGGTTTAGGGGGTGTTTGGCCGAAGGATAAATCAATGCGAATCCCGAAGGATGGTGCTTCAGGCCTCCAAGGCTGCGATTTTGTTCCTCAGCCGTGCGATGCAAGGCCGCAAGGTCAGCTGAAAGGTATCACAGCGCCCGGGAGAATTCAACAGTCAAGCGACTGCACTTGTCGCAGCTGGGACTGGGCGGCATCCAGCTTCTCCTGCCACTTCCGATGCTAAATGCCAGCTACAACCGCAGCTGCTAGCACGCTCTCAAAGCAGCTCTACACCCGAGACCCCCACACCCAAGACCCGAAACCCTAAACGCAAGATCTAGCGGTCCTGGCATTCTGCAAGTTCGGCTTCGGCCTGTTTGAGGAGCTTCCGCTTCGGCCTGCCAACACTCTAGGGCTGGCGTCCGCATGGGATAAGAAGAATAAGAGCAAGAAGGCCCAATCAAAGCTCATAGCCATTCCGTCATGAGGACAACAACAGGAATAGCAGTTACAACAAAAATCGTTGCAACCGTAACAGCGACGAAAACCACGATAATTGCAGCAAGATGGGATGCAGGCAACGTGCTATGGCGATTTCGTCTTCTGTGAGGCCAGGCGTGTTGTCCCTGGGCTCCCAGCTCGACGGCTTTGGCGACGAAGTGGTACTTGTACATCGCACGGACCTACGTCTCAGCAACACTCCAGAACTCCATACCCTAAGCCCCCAAGCCCTTCTATCGCCGAGTACGCTGCAAGCAAGCTCACTAAGCAACCACTGGCAGGGCTGAGCTACTTAGAATCCCTCGCCACTCCTGGCTTAGGGCCTAAAGCCGGAACCTATCCCCCTGAACCCGAGACACGAAAACCCTGAAGCGTAAACGGCACTGACCACTGTTCCCACCCTAAACTACACGAATCCCACCAAACCCTAAACTCCGAACCAGAGTTCGCAACATGAAGAGTCTGAGCGCCGAGCCCACAAACACAAGGCCTCGCAAGCGATGGAGGCCTCCGTCACCATGCGTCACCCCAACGTGAAACTCATAATGCAAAGACTAAGAGAAGGAATGAGAATAGTAGCTTTAGCTACAGCAGCAGTACTAGTTACTAGTGGCAGTGGCAGTGCTAGTGACCGCGGTCGTGGTAGTGGTACGATGGATGGAGGAAGTCATGCACCGCCCAGATGCTGACTAATGACCCTTGTTTCACATTGATGATAGTATGCCACGTTGCTGGTGCAAAATTTGGGTCAGTGGAACCCCACGGCACTTCCCGGACTGGACATTAACGTCAAACGAGGGTGTGGGGTACCATCGCTGGTCTACTCAAACTGGTGCAGTGGTGATGGTGTTGGTGTTGGTCTTGGTGCTGGTGCTGGTGTTGGTGTTGGTGTTGGTGTTAGTTTTGGTGGTGGTGGCGGTGGTGGCGGTGGCGGTGGTCGTGGTGGTGGTGGCTGGCGGTTTCGGTGGCAGTAGCTAGCGGTGGCAGTAGCGGTCGTGGTAGTGGTAGTGGTAGCGGGAGCAGGCAATGATGCTATCGCAATGGTGCTGATCAGAATACCTATAGTAATAGTCATGCCGGCAATACGCAAGCTGCAGAAACATTGCTTAACGGTCTGGCCCCAGGCATCATGCAACCCACAGGCACGCTTTGTGCAGCTTGCCTTCTTGATTGCTGCAGGATCGAAATCCTCTCTGTCGATGTAGGGCCCGATCGTCTGGATGACCTTCGCTGTGCTGGCTTTAGGATTTGAGGCGTCTGCAGAGTCTGCAGAGCACGTGGCCTTGTCGGGGATGTTGTCCTTGTCAAAGTCCATGAGGTCTTCCAGGAGCTTCTTTGCATCCACAAGGACCTCAACACCCAAATCCCAGCATGGGTAAAGTAGGGACTGCCTCAAGCCCTAAAGGCGCGGACCTGCTTCTGCGAAGTCTCCCAATAGTCCTGCCGAATACCGCTGCAAGAATTAATAAAGCGCGAGGTGAGCTTGGGCCGCTCAAACAGGGTCACCTCGATCTTCTTCGAAGGATTGCTCGGGTCAGGCTTCTTCACTGGCTTCAGCTGAAACCTGGGCGGCACTCTGCACTCCCCTGGGGTCGCAAATAAGGCAGAAGGAGGAGAAAAGGGCCCTGACATAATGCACACGCCTTCGCAGGCGAGCCGTACACCAGCAGGTGGATTTGCAAGTGCCTTGACTTCCTGGATGTGCTCCTGGCTGCTATTGCTCTGGAGGCTCAGAAGATACAGGAACCTTAAGCTGTACCGTACTATGCTGTATCATACCCTAGCATACCACTGCTATCCCTAGCATACCATGCCATGCTATGCTATGCTATCTGCTATGCTCTGCTATGCTATGGCCTAGCAAAACACAAGATGTATCCAGCACTCTTCCCGATCCCAGGGCCGCTCCTTCTTCAGCTTCCTCAAGCACTCCACCTTCGGTGCCCAGCTTGCTTTCATGCTGCTTAGATGCAGGCCTTTGCAAAAATTGTGCATTTAAATTTTGGGGCTATAATCTTTGAACCCACAAGCCCTGTAAGCCCTAAGCGTCCCCAAAGAAAAGTTCCTTCACGCTTTTAAAGAGTCATGTCATTATATAGAAGTCCAATCAACGAGGGACAACCCGAGCCTGATTGTCAAAGCAGGTTTCAAGAGCTTCGGAACTACATGTAGTTGAAACCGGAGATAAAGCCTCGATGGAATTACTAAGGCTCGTATTAAGTCCCAAACCCTTACAAAACCCTCCCTGAACCCCTTAATTAACCCTGAAAACCCGAACCCCTACTAAACCCGCTTGACCCTAAACCCTAAACCCTAAACCCTAAACCCTAGGTCTCTTTGCTATCATATCAGCTGGCCCTAAACCCTAAACCCTAAACCCTAAACCCCAAACCCTAGGTCTCTTTGCTATCATATCAGCTGGCCCTAAACCCTAAACCCTAAACCCTAGGTCACATTGTCTGGCTCCTCAGGCTCCGACCGCTTGGTCCAAGGCCGGCAAAGCCTCGTCCAGGTCTCTCTGGGCATCGTCCTTGGGCACAGCGGGTTATGTCAAAAGTGCTTTGAGGTTTAGGGCCTAGGGTGCATAACTCCATGTTTAGGGACTTTGTCACTACAATGCGTTTCCTACCGCTAACCTAATGTTTGGTTCTAAGTATCAGCACTGGTGTTGCCATTTCTTACCGCTGCTGCCGTGCCTTGATGGCTTGGGTCTCCTCGGCCTTCACCGACGCGGCAGCCTCTTCCGCCGCAACGGCCTGACAGTGCGAGCCATTCAGCGGCAGTCTTCTCATCCGTGTTCCACATACTTCCCCTACCTTGCTCACTTCTTCAGCCTCCCCTTTGTCCTTCGTGATCACCACCTTTCATGAAGTCGCTTACAAACTTACGACTGTCTTAGGCCTTCCCTGCGGATATGGATTCAAATAATTCGGCTCACCATCATCTCGCCGACTTCCTTTTGCGTCTTTTCCAGCATAGGCCTGACACGACGGCACTTCCGTGTTGGATCTGCCCCAATGCAGCAGCAGAGTAGGTAAGCCAGGGACTTCTTGTCAACCAGCATCTGCTGAAGTCCTGCCACTTGCTCTTCGGCGTCCCCGATCTTGCCCAAACCTCAGCTGCTCCAAGGTCTGGACCCCTCTGTCATGTCAGCCACACCGATCGTTAAGCATGTGGCCAACGCTATACCTGTGCTGCAGCATGCCAACCTTTCCAGTTCAATTTTTCAGAAAACCAGAGTCCCTACTCAGTTAATGTAAAGAGGACCAGCAATGGAACGACTTACGACGTCAGGAAAAAAAGGTGGCCTGTTTGCGCTTGTCTGCAAGAATGCCGACGAAGCTGTTCAGCAACTCTAGGAAGGAGGTCGGCGTGACCTTGTGCTTCAGGCTTTGGGGGGTTTTGATAGGTGTTTTTTTTGATAGGTGTTTAGGGTTTAGGGTTTAGGGGGCTTTTTCTAGCCGCTCAGCTGACGAGGTCGCACTGCTAGTTGTTGGAGCGAGGGCAAAAGTCCCACAGTCCCAGGCAGGGTGCACGCCACTCCTTAGCCTTAACCGGGCAAGACCACCACCAACTCAACAACCACTAACACCTCTGACCACACCGAACTCGTAGGAGAAGCTCTAAAGCCCGACTATCCCGAACGACCCCCCAGAGGACTTGGGGTTCAGGGTTTTCTGGTTCAGAGTCTGGGCGCATGCCTCTGGATAAGCAAGAGATCTTCTGTGTGTGAGTGGACCAGCTGGATAAGCAACAACTCGAGGGCATGGGCGAGCGGCATAAACGTGGCGATTGGTCGCTTTCAAGAAGCTTCTTGACGACGTCTCGACACTCTGGTGGATGGTCTGGAACCTCAGTTCGTGAAGAGAGATACGCACAGAAAGAAGGCTTGGTCAATGCATGCATTCATCTTGACATTGACTGATATACTGTACATCCAGAATCTAGATGGATAGTTGCAGACTGACATGCCTTTAGCGTGTACAGATGATGGCTCCATGACTACTTCTGTATTTCTGCCCCTAAACCCCAAACCAAGTCGTATCTTACTTCTTCCTTCCCGACGCATTGCATAGAGCCAGAATGCACCCCTCTGTGCCCCGAGCATCTTCAAGGAGCCCTCGAGGTTGGGAAGCTCAACCTTCAGGACAATGTATATACGTAGATATGAAAATGTACATATATATATATATATGTGTGTGTGTGTATATATACATATTAGATCTATACTCGATATAATACATCACACATAATATGTCATATAACACATGAGACCGGACATGATTTGCAAGAGAAGGCTCTGGGGGCTCTTTGGGCTTAGGCTCTGATGTGGGAGCTGGTGGGACTCACGGCATCTGGCATGGTTTAGCGATTCGGGCCTCAAAACTTTCGTGTAGACTCTTTACTTAGGGTTGTGGCTTTAGCACACGTTGAGGTTCCGAGTCCCGAGTTTGCTCTAGGATCACAGGTCCCTGGGGCAGACACGCTCTGCCCGGTGATCTGCTGCTTCGCCACAGAGTAGAGCGCTTCGGCCGGCCACTCATGGAACCTGGGAAGCTGTCCCGTTAAGAGACTTGAAGTATGTTCCAAAGCAGCTTCCGAAAGAAGGATCCATATGCGGAACAACGTCTGCAGTGGGCGGCAAGCATGTTCTTTCGCCCTGCCTGTGCATCCCGTCCCTTCATCCTACTAAGCTAGCATGAGTCCAGGCGAGTCTTTCGGGACGTCGAAGCAGCTCTTCAGCGATTGGAATCACCTACGCACGAGTTCTGTGCCCGGGACCAATCAATCGTGCAGCAGTTGACCAGCGATGGAAAGCTTCCTTACCAGAAGGCTCTGACAGTCAGAAAATATGCATGCTTCTCGGCGGTTCGCCACGCGTGCTCGGAAGCCGAGGCTCGCAATCGATTTCTGAAGCTGTCGCCAACAGGAGAGAAAGCCAGTGTCACGTGGACATTCTTTTTCACCCGACCTGCACTACTTCTCACAGCCCGGGCTAGTCTCGTGTCAAGAAGAGCTACCTCTGTCTGCTGCACTGGGCCGGGCACTCAGATAGGCACTGAAGAGGTTTGCCTTTGTGGGCTGCATTCCCATCGACCTGGTCAAGTCCAAAGGCCCGATTCCGGAGAAATCTCGAGAAGTCTGAGGCACTGGCTGGCAGAGCTGGCGGCAGGATGAGGAGATGGCTTCGAAATCTTCATTGGCATAAAGGTTTGGCCTAAGGTAAGTAAAGATGAACGTTTCTGCAGCTCCTGGCTTTTCAGGGTGCCCGGCACATCGCCGCTGTTCAGGACATTGTTGATGGCCTTCAAAACGCAGGTGCAGGCAGCAAACCAGGTGAGGCTCAAGGGTTAAGAGCTGCTTGCTTCGAGCATGGATTTAGCATGTAGTCCAGCCCAGGAAGTGGCAGACATCAGCCTCGACAAAGTCTTCCTTGACAATCTGGGTGTCACAGAACAAGAAGATCTGAACCTCAGCCAAGAAACCAGCCCACTGTCAAACACAAGTGCTGCGCAGGCGTTGCCAACCGCCACGGTTTCCAGCCTTGTCCTCCACGCCGCATTTCATCAGGCACTTCTTGACCTCAACATCCGTGACAGCTGGAAGTCCCGGTCCCTCCCAGGAAAGCCCCTGCAGTCACATGCAACACTTTTACGAGCTCGCAACGTCGTCCTTGAACTCCGTCATCCCATAACCTCGCCCAATGCAGAACAAGTCGGTGCTGCGCTTCAACGGCTAGCAGTCAGCAATTAAGCAAACCGATCTCGCGCAGGCCTTTCGCCACCTCAATCTGGAAGCAGTCTGCTTCATTCATGTACGCTGACCTGTCTCTGAACTGTCTGCCACACGAAGGGATGCAGGAGACTATCAGCTTGTTGCAAGATCACAGTCCCGGGGAGCATGCAGGCGTGTCAGGCTCTGCCGTCCACTTCCACCTCATACAGGCTGTCTGCTCACTAAGACAAGGTCTGCATGTGCATGTAACTGTTCTTCCATCCATGCGACATCTGGGGCATGCGCCAACCCCGAGCAACAGGACGTTGCCATTGGGCTGGCTCAGGACACGACAAATGCGCGCCTGCACCGGCTCAACTCTCCGAACTCACAATATTATCATTATTTTTAAAAAAACATTACCATTGCTATAACGAATATTGTCATTATTGTTTTTCTTGAAAGTAGTGGTATTCTTCTGAATACTATTAGTACTAGTACTATGACGCATTAATATTACTATTCTTGCTACTACGATTAGTGTTCATACTATTACCACTACTGTCGTCATTGCTGTTGTTTCTGTTATGTTGTTGTTGTTACAATCTAGGACGGGAAAGGATTCGCGTGCACAAGAAAGCGCGTCGCGATCGGCAAGACACCGAGACCCTTGCGCAGTGCTCGCAGGCATCAAGGAACATGACAAGTGGCATGGTGATCGAGAAGACCTGGCCAGGGCAGCATTTCGTCTCTCCAGCGGCCGCAATGCTCCAAGACACCGGAAGATTCCGGAAGCACTTGCCTGATTGTAGTCTTCCAGATATTCTTCAATCGCCTGCTTCATGGCCTCGCACCAACCGACTCTCCAAGGGAGCTCTTCCCTGATGTGCCAAAGAAGGGAATGCCTGCATGTCTGTGATCTCGTCATAGGTCCGATTCTCCACCTCCGGCGCACCATGCCACTCGTGCGATGCATGCAAACGACGAGAGGATGAATGAAGACTACAAGTGGCTGGACCGCCTCCTGGGTCAGGAAAGATGCAAAGATGAGGCGCTCCTCAGGCAAAGTAATGAAGTAACGTCTAGGAAGGCCTTAGGATCAGAATTCCACATGGAGCTTTAGGTGACTTTGGAAGGTCCACGCCTTGTTGAAGATGACTTCGAGCTTTTGCTCAAGATCCTGCAAGTCTGTAGCAAACCGGACTCAGTTCAATTGCAGCGCAGTCTGGCAGCTATTGTAGGCTAACCTAACCCCAAACCCTAAGCCTGCTGTAGGAGTTGTTGTTGTGTTCTTTTGACGGACCAATCCTGGCTCACCGCGCCCTCGACCTGCGTCTTCATCCACTGCAGGTCTTGGCTGTCCTGGAGCGGTTGGGGGAAGGTTAAGCAGTTTCTCAGGGCACACCTCGGGACAAAAGTCAGAATCAGGAACAACCCATTTTTCTGCTAATCTATTCGAAGTGCATATATAGGGTCTACGGCCGCGCTTGCCGTGTGCAAGACGAGCCAAATCCACACCCCTCGATAACTGGCCCGATCGCCTTGGAGCACAGATCCACAGTCCACAGTGGAGCTGCTGTGCCCGGAAGGGCCAAAGTTAAAAGTGGACCTGCTAATTAAGAACAATTTTGCTCAGCGAGAACTGTTCAAAAGGCGAGCCTGAACGGCTCTGCGTAGAAATGCAAAAAGTGCCTAGGCTGTGTGTTAAGAATCGCAGTGTCGGCTACGTTGAGCTCACCTACGCCTTGAAAGGGACCGAGGAGTGGTGGAGGCAGATGCGCACCTTTCCATCGGGGTTCCTCCTGTAGCCAAACGTGTACTCCACCTTCGTCTTGCTTCCATCTGCTGCGCTAGTAAAGTAATAGTTTCCCATTGCGAGCGCCATGTTGCCGTCCACATCGATCTCGTGGTTCTCGAACACGACATCTGACCATCCCTTGCCCCCGTTGATGGCGAAGCCAGCATCCTCAGAATGACCTCTCGTAACTGATTTCCTGCCGACGAAATAGGACATCGCATCCTCGGCAGTCGGACGGAACTGTGCCTCTGCCGCTTTGGTGGGCTTGAACAGGACCTTCGAGTGACCATAGCCATAAAGCTCGCCAGCCGCTTTGGCAGCAACCGCCACAAAGTCGCCTCCATCCAAGTAGGTCTTGGAGATCGTTTTAATGGCATTGGCCCAAGCTGCCTGCACACTGAGCACATCCTCCTTGGAGACCGCACCAGGGGCCGGAGGGCTGAATGGCACAGACGAGTGGTGGAGGAAGATACGCACCTTCCCATCGGCGTTCTTCTTGTAGCCGAATGTGTACTCCACCTTGGTTTTGCTTCCATCCGCTGCACTGGTGAAGACGTAGTTCCCCATGGCAGTGGCCGTGTCGCCGTCCGCGACAATCTGGTGGTTGTCGAACACGACATCTGACCAGCCTTTGCCACCGTTGATGGCAAAGCCACCATCCTCTGGAATTCCATCATCAACAGCCTTGCAGCCTACAAAGTAGGACATGGCCTGGGATGCCATGGGCCGGAACTGGACATCCTTCGCCTTCGTTGGCTTGAAGAGCACCTTTGTGTGACCGTAGCCGTACAGCTCACCTGCTGCCTTCCCCGCTGCTGCAACGTAGTCACCTCCGTCCAAGTAGATCTTGGAGATAGATTTAATGGCATTGGCCCAAGCTGCCTGCGCATCTCTCACCTCCTCCTCAGAAACTGCTGCGAGTGGTGCCTGTGGTGCGGCTGCGGCGGCTGGGGCGGCTGGGGCAGGGCTGAATGGCACGGACGAGTGGTGGAGGAAGATACGCACCTTCCCATCGGCATTCTTCTTGTAGCCAAATGTGTACTCCACTTTGGTCTTGCTTCCGTCCGCTGCGCTAGTGAAAAAATAGTTCCCCATAGCAATGGCTGAGTTGCCATCCACATCGATGTCGTGGTTGTCGAACACAACATCCGACCAGCCTTTGCCGCCGTTGATGGCAAAGCCACCATCTTCTGGAATTCCATCATCAACAGCCTTGCATCCTACAAAGTAGGACATGGCCTGGGCTGCCATGGGCCGGAACTGGACGTCCTTCGCCTTCGTTGGCTTGAAAAGCACCTTTGAATGACCGTAGCCGTACAGCTCACCTGCTGCCTTCCCCGCTGCTGCAATGTAGTCACCACCGTCCAAGTAGGTCTTGGAGATCGTTTTAATGGCATTGGCCCAAGCTGCCTGCGCGGCTCGCACCTCCTCCTCGGAAATTGCAGCTTTGATGGCTCCTGGCGGGCTGAATGGCACGGACGAGTGGTGGAGGAAGATACGCACCTTCCCATCGGCGTTCTTCTTGTAGCCAAACGTGTACTCCACCATGGTCTTGCTTCCATCTGCTGCACTTGTGAAATAGTAATTCCCCATTGCAGTGGCTGTATCTGCACTCAACTCGATCTGGTGGTTGTCGAACACAACATCTGACCAACCCTTGCCGCCGTTGATGGCAAAGCCACCATCTTCTGGAATTCCATCATCAACAGCCTTGCATCCTACAAAGTAGGACATGGCCTGGGTGGCCATGGGCCGGAACTGGACATCCTTCGCCTTCGTTGGCTTGAAAAGCACCTTTGAATGACCGTAGCCGTACAGCTCACCTGCTGCTTTCCCCGCTGCTGCAACGTAGTCACCTCCGTCCAAGTAGGTCTTGGAGATCGTTTTAATGGCATTGGCCCAAGCTGCCTGCGCGGCTCGCACCTCCTGCTCGGAGACCGCGGTGGCCCCTCCACTTGTGGTGCCGGCACTGAATGGCACGGACGAGTGGTGGAGGAAGATGCGCACCTTCCCATCGGCGTTCTTCTTGTAGCCAAACGTGTACTCAACTTTGGTCTTGCTTCCGTCCGCTGCGCTAGTGAAGTAATAATTTCCCATGGCGATGGCCACTTTTCCACTCAAATCGATCTGGTGGTTGTCAAAAACAACGCTTGACCAGCCTTTGCCGCCGTTGATGGCAAAACCACCATCCTCCGCAATTCCATTCTGCACGGCATTGCAGCCCACAAAGTAGGACATGGCTTGGGGTGCCATGGGCCGGAACTGGACATCCTTTGCCTTCGTGGGCTTGAAGAGAACATCACAGTGCCCGTAACCATAGAGCTCACCAGCGGCTTTGGCGGCGGCGGAAACGTAGTCGCCCTTCTCCAGGTAAATTTTGGAAATACCAACGATGGCATCGGACCAAGCCTTCTGCGCCTGGTGAACTTCCACCTCCGAGACGGACATCTTCGCTGCTGTGTGGAGTCAAGGAAGTGGGGTGCACCAAAACAACACTGCTTGAGGCAAAATGGCTACGGCGTAGCGTCTAGGGTCAAGGAGGTCCCGAATGCACAGCAACTCCAGCCGTCTAAGATCCATAAACTCCGAAAATCCCTTTCCGTCTGGTCTGCAGCACCTCAACCAGGACAGAGACGGAGATGTGAACCCGAAAAATCCTTTTTTGCATAAAACCCTGAACCCCCAAACCCGACACCCGAAACCTCAAACCTGTATCCGCACGCCGTGCCGCGAAACAACCTTCAAGCCCAAACCCGACCCGACCGCTGCTGCAGCTTCCCAATCCTACGGAACCAAAGATGGACCCTGTGGGACTACATAGGAAACCCTAACCCTAAACCCTTGTGGGATTTCATGCGAGTTTAAGCATCCGGCCGTCAGTCGATCCCCGAAGACTCGTTGGATCTCATGAGCCCAGCACCGGGTCACCTCGTTGAACCCAAGACCGCCGTATCACGCGCACACACACACGCACATGCATCCGAAGCATGCAGAGTTTGAAGATGTGCGTATGCAGGTCTACGAAACATGCTTCTAAATACACAAGAAACATGCAGAGATGTATATGCACAAGATAGAGAATGTGTATGTGCGTGCGCATGTACGTGTGTATGCACGCAGGCCATGTATGTAAGGCTTGTTATGTCTTTGTTTAGTGGTGATTGGCATATAGACTTATATGGCATATAGACTTAGATGTGCTTGCTAGTGTTATTTCCATGCCGACTATGTGTTTCATTGACTGAGTGGTTGCTTCAGTGAAAGGTGAGGGTTGGTTGACTACCCCCCGAAACTCTTGCAGCTTCGCAGGCCCGACACTGCTCAAAACGAGCAGAGGAGGTTGTAAACCCCTAAACTAAACCCTAAACCCTAAACCCTAAACCCTAAACCCTGCAAGAAAACTCAGTCACCGACGGTCAGGGGATTGTTGGATTTCTTGGAGCTGAGGCTGCAAAGACCAAGGAAGACCTCGGATTCCATCAGAGCTCCGGGGCAATGGCTGGGGCGCAGCGAGGGGGTTTTGGGGTTTGGGCGCTCACAACTCGGACAATCCAGGCGATCAATGGCTTGGCGATGGGGTTGAAGGCAAGTTTGGGGTTTCGTTTTGTTGGTCTGGGGTTTAGATGTAGTGTTCAGGCTTTAGTCGGGTACCGGGCCTTCCAGATGTCACGCAAGTTGAAGAGGTAGTGGGACTTCGCTGGTGTGGGCAGCAGGTCGTTCAATGCCTGCCGGCCATCCGTACTCAGATTCACGATGGCAGGCTGGCAAGTGTCTCCGTGAGTGTCGACACTCCTTTTCCTCATCACAAGAGCAAGTGCAGAGAAACTCTGTAGTGGACAACACATTCTTTGGCATGTCCACACACGACAGAACGTCGGATCAGAAAGGTTCCTTTCTTCCAACATCTGCCTTTGTGCGACAGCTGCAAAGCCTCTTTGGGACTGTCCAGCGTCAATATCTTACACAGGCTCTGTCTTGCATCTTTCTTTGACCTCTCGTGGTGCAACCTTGCAAGACAGCACAAGCTCACACAAGCTTCTACGGCCCCAATCCCTGGAGAAATGCAGTGTCAAATTCATCCCCCCCCCCCCCCCCCCCCCNNCCCCCCCCCCCCCCCCCCAGCTTCGACTGACGCTACGTGGGAATCAGAAACTCACGTTTTGAGTGAGGGTGCTGCTGTAGCCTTCTCGGATGCTGCTTTCACAACCGACCTCAGCGTAAAACAGGCCATACAGTAACAGAAATACGGAGTTTGGCGATCCGTGGGAGAAGAGCGTGCGACGCAGCTTTCCTGCTCTGAGCACGGTGCAAGGTCTTCACGAACTCGAACTTATCAATTTCGTCCAATATCTTGCTCAGGTCGAAGGACTTCTGGCTTCTGATCTCCTTTGCTTGCGGCGGTGCATCCAAACCCTAAACCCCAAACCCTAAACCCAAACCCTAAACCCTCAACCCTAAACCCTAAACCCTAAACCCTTTTTTTACACCTGGACTACGCATATGCCAGGAACCGAGGCACCGACTGTGCTGTG